AGGTAGGTGTGAAGGAACAGCAGTTGACCTAATTCAAGTATTGTGCAAAAACGCATGATCGCACCGACTCGCCTGGTGCGTTCCAGCCTGGGTTTTAATCATTGTTTAAAACAAACTTTTTTAATAATTACCGCTTGAAATTACACGTCAAAAACTTAGATGTGAAATTACGTTGTTCGACGTGACTATGAGTTTGATTAACAGTAAAATTTGCATAATTGATTTTCACTGAATTTCAGCAGGCTACAATTGTGCATTTGCAACGAATAGAGTTCCACTGGTCGTTTTCGTCATTTCTGGATTTTTCGCTAGCCATTTAACCTGCAGTAGTGTGTATTTCTCCTCTGTAGCCGGGAATCTGGATTCGCATCCAAAGAAGGCGGAAGAAATCGGACCTCAGGAAGCAACTGGTCGTCGATCTGCTTCCTCCATTCATCGTTTCTGTTTACGCCACCCAAAGCCGGCATTTCGCAGGAGCAGTTCGTTGTTCCAGCGAACAGTCCACAAATTTCCGGTCAAAAACAAACGCTTACATGAACTGCTAGAAGAACCGCACGTGTTGGTACCATTTTGTTCCTGGAATTCAGTTGATGCTACAGGAGCCGATAGTTCCGGTCCTACGCTTACTACAAGAACCGGCGGTGCCCACACTGTAACAACAACTTCAGGATTTAGTAGCTCCGGTTGTGCTGCTGTTGTTTCGGGATTCGGTACCAGCATACCGCTTGTTGCCGACGGTTGACGACATCGTTGTACGATTGTAAGTGGCTGTAGCAACTTGCAAAAATAGCGCGATTCCGGGCAAACGCAGTGAAGCGGTACTGCTACGTGCTGGAGCTCATTCCAGGACTACGAAACTACTCGCCACTAGCAGTAGCAACAACCGCAGACAACGATCAACCCTTCCATCAGTTGGTAAGCACTTCACTTTTTACGTTTTTTTTTGCATCTATCAAAAATCAGAATCCTTTCCTTATTCGTTTTCCGTGAGCAACAGAGGCACTAAAATGTGGCCCGAATGAAAGCAAATGCCAACAGTAACCATTTGCTAGTAAAGCTAACAATGACTCGAGAACTGCTTACGAGCAAGCTGATGGCACTTTCAACTTGCTGGCATATGCTAGTACCAATTTATCGTCGAAATTCTTTCGTTTCAACGGTAAATTGGTACTGGCATACGCCAAGAAGAATGGTAGACCTGGACTGACTTGTCTTGCTGGCGGAATCGAACTCGCGAGCTTCTTCTGCACCTTCTTCGTCCATACCTGAAGGCGCATAAACCCATCTATGTGTTTTGTAATAATTGAATGTTTTT